CAGGTATAAGTAATATGACGGTGTTAGTAAGACTTTAGTTCAAAAAATATTTTCTATTTAAATAAATTTATTTTTTTATGGATCACGAAAAGTATTTTTTTTTTTTATTTTTATCATACTAAACTCCAAAAAATAAAATTTGTTTTATAAATAATTTTCTGGTGAAGTAAATGAAAGGTTAAAGTAATGTAAATAGTTTCAACATTGAGATAGAATAGAATAAAATGATCATTTCTTAACATTTTCTATGAAATAACCATTCCCTTAACATAACAAAAAATAATTTCATTTGTAAAGCATTAATCATTGTATTTTTAAACTAATTAAACATAAAAATAAATATTTTAATAAAATAATAAATTCATTTCATTTAAATGAACACACAGAAAAATTCTTCCAAAGAATAATTTGGTGGTTGTAAAAAAGTTACTTTGCGTATTGATTGAATAATGACTTTTTGTTGATAATATCAATATCATTGTTAATTAATGTACTGGGCTTCTCTCCACTCCGGTTGAAGAGATATTGTTAAATTTATTAGACTTGTTTTTACATTTCGTTTTGATAATTTGAATTATTTATATTTTAAAATTTGATGAGTATATTATTCTTATAAAAAATTAAATTAATTAAACAACATCAACCACGTGTTTGGATTAAATTTATATAAACGATTTGATTTTTTTAATATTGAATTATTTAAAATATTTAAACCATACCAAAAAATAAACTCTTTTAACAATATCTTTCCAGTCTAATTAAGAACCAGAGAGAGAGAAGTCCAGTGCTTAATTAATTGTTATTCTTTGGGCAAAAGCAAAAAAAACGTGTCCCTCCATCCATGTCCTTTTCACTTTAATTGTGCTTATATTCCGTGGCATAGCCAAAAATTCAGTAGAGAGGCGGCACAAATTAATGACAATATTAATATTTTTTTTTTCATGATAAGTAACAATGAGATATTACTAAACTTAAATATTAAGAGTTCATTTGAATAAATGTGAATTTTAAATTAAATGATTTGAGATTGAATTTTATACAAATATTAGGGAGTAACTATTTTATAGGTGGATTGGAAATTTAAAAAAGAAGATAAGTTGAGATAAAGATGATATATTTTAGTAGAAAATTTTTATAAAACATACTGCAATAAAAGTATCTATCATATGTTGCAATTATGATTTTCGTGATATTTAGTTATAACACATTATATTGTTAGATATAATTTAGTTATAACTTTTTTGTGGTTTTTATTTTGGTTATAACTATATATTAATAGTTAGTTATGACTTATTCTGATATTAATTATGATCTATTGTAAAAAAAAAAATTTATTTTTTATAATTGAAGATGTGTTGCTTGATTATAATTTATATAGTGGTCATTTTAGTTATGAATGGAAAGAAACGCATGGAGGATAAACTCCACATGTCAAATGTAACTAACAATCTAATAAATTTCATATCTTCATTGAAATTAATTATTTTTGCTTGTCAATAGTGATAGGCATTACCATTACATTGAAATTTTCATAAATAATAATATGACTTATCATAATCTATTTATTTTCAATCAAAATAATCATTATTATTCTCATAATTTTAAAATGTCATTGACATTTCCATTTAAATAATATTTTTATAAATTTTTTTATTTAAAATATTTTCTTTATGTTTAAAAAAAAAAATTCTACGATGAAGGCAACCAAGAAAGCTATGAATGCCCATGGATTAGTGAAATATGTACGCCTCAGATGTTAGGTAAAATATATGATTCCCCACAAGTAAATCAATCAATGGGAATAAAAACTAATGCGGAAAAATTAAATCAAAGGCAACACAAGAATTTTATGTGGTTTCCTCAATGTGAGGTACGCCCACGGGATCAAAATCCGATTCCACTATCAACCAAAGAGTTTCCAAACGATTATAACCGAGACACGAATGGTCTCACAAAATCACCCTTAGGTGAATTCCAAATAATCACAAATAAATAAGAGGAAAGACCTCACCAAATAGATGAACAAAAGTCTTCGAAACAGATTTATAGAAGACCCAAAAATAACGAACCAAATCAGTCAAGAACCTTGGACTAATCTTAGCCACCAAAAGTGAATACACACACTATGATTCAATAAATTGACAGGATCACCAAAATCATATAACTGCTGCTTTTTCACCGAGCCAAATGGCTGCCTCTATGTATTTGGAAAAACAAAACCATATATATATATATGGTTGAGTCTTTGATTTTTTTATATAAAATCCTAGTTGTTACCAAATTGAATATCCAATACCTATTAGATTCTAAAAGTTAGATATAATATATAAAATATATTATACCTAAACCAAACTAAATTAAAAAATTTTAACAAACCAATTGGGTCTCAAACTCCAATAAGCAGATATATCCTAATAATTCTCCCCGTATCGACTTAGGTGGAGATATCAACCATACCCGCCAAAATTCGACACTTCAAATGTTTGTCCCTCGACAAAGTCTTAGTCAACATATCCGAAATATTATCATCCGTGTGAACCTTTTCGAATTGTAACAATTTCGAATCTAACACATTACGAATCCAATGGTATCTCACATCAATGTGTTTCGATCTTGAATGAAAAGTAGAATTTTTACTCAAATGAATAGCACTTTGACTATCACAATAAAGCACATACTTTTCTTGCTTCAAACCCAACTCTTGCAAAAATTTCTTCAACCACAATAAATTCAGCTTCGGTAGTTGAGAGCACATTTTTGTAATTTAGATTGCCATACCACAGCTCCCTCTGCAAATGTCATCAAATACCCCAAAGTAGATTTCCTAAAATCAACATTACCGGGCATGTTAAAATCTGTGAACCCATCAAGCATCAGCTTACCATCGCCAAAACACAAACACACCTTCGAAGTCCCTCGAAGATACCTTAGAATCCATTTTACCGCTACCCAATGTTCTTTACCCGAATTAGAGAGAAACCTACTCACCACACCAACGGCGTGAGCAATATCTGGCCTTGTACAAACTATGGCGTACATCAAAGAACCAACTGCTGAAGCATAAGGAATTTTCAACATCTCTTCTTTGTCTTTTTCACTTGTAGAACATTGATTCGAACTAAGTTTGAAGTGACCCGCAAGTGGACAACCAACCGGCTTTGCTTTATCCATGTTGAACCTCTCAAGAACTTTCTTAATATAGCTTTCTTGAGAAAACCAAATCAGCCCATCTTTACGATCATGAACAATTTTCATACCAAGTATATGCTTTGCTGGTCCCAAATCTTTCATAACAAAAGATTTACTCAACTCTAACTTCAACTTGTTAATCATGGTAGAATCTTGACTCACAATTAACATGTCATTAACATAAAGCAAAAGAATAATAAATTTACCATCCGAGAAATTTTTCACAAACACACAATGGTCCGAAGTGGTTTTAGAAAGATCATTATTCATCATGAAAGAGTCAAATTTTTTGTACCATTGCCGCGGGGCTTACTTGAGGCCATATAAACTTTTCTTCAATTTTCAAACAAATTTTTCTTTCCCTTTCTCTACAAAACCTTCCGGTTGCTCCATATAAATTTCTTCTTCAAGATCATCATGAAGAAATACGGTCTTCACATCAAGTTGCTCAACTTCAAAGTTCATACTTGCAGCCATGCCAAATACAACCCGAATAGAAGACATCTTCACAACTGGCAAGAAAATCGCATCAAAGTCAATGCCTTTCTTTTGCCCGAAGCCTTTCACAACAAGACATGCTTTATACCTCAGATTCTTGCCATCATTATCCAATTTGAAAACCCACTTATTTTTCAAAATTTTCCTCCCTTTAGACAACTTCACTAAATCATAAGTTTGGTTTTCAAGCAAGGAATTCATCTCCTTGTCCATGGCCTTTTTCCACACACCTTTCTTTGCACGCTCAATTGCTTTTTGGTAGTTCTCGGGCTCCCCTTGATCGGATATCAATACAAATTCATTGGGAGGATACTTTCTTGACGGTTGTCGGTCCCTTGTAGATTTTCTCAACTCAAGTTGTGGTGGCGGTTCTTGAGTTGGATGTTTTTTCTCAATTTCTAGCTCAAGTTCATTAGGATTAGCATCATCCCCTACATCTTCAATAGGTGGCTGCACATCTCCTCCATTTTCATCCTCAACTGAAGATGAAGGAGATGGATCCATATTAATGAGATCACTAGTTTTTGGCTCCAGTTGATCACCTTTGCCAAAGTCTTCATTTGTTTGGTCTTCAAGAAACACAACATCACGACTTCGAATGACTTTCTTGTCGACTGGATCCCACAATCTATACTCGAATTCATCACACCCATAGCCAAGAAAAATACATTGTCTTGACTTACTATCAAGCTTGGGCCTCTCATCATTTGGAATGTGAACAAAGGCTCGACAACCAAACACTCTCAAGTGCTCATAAGACACATCTTTGCCGGTTCAAACTTTTTCAGGAACATCACCATTCAAAGGATAGGAAAGGGACAAATTGATCACATCAACCGCTGTCTTCATTCACTACAAAAAAATGCACCTTTGCCGACTAATTTTGGCGACTAAAATATTTTTAGTCGCCAAAAGTATAATATTCGGCGACTAAAAATTATTTTGTCGCCATTGGTTCAAATATGTAGCTACTAAATTATTTTAGTTGATAAAAATTTATAATTGGCGACTAAATTTTGATTTAGTCGGCAAAATTCAACTTTTTCGCGACTAAATAATTTGTTAGTCATCGTTTTCGTACATTTTACATTGAAAAAAATTAAATTAATTTGTAATACTGCTGTTTCCTGACTAAAATATGATTTAGTCGCCAAAGATGACTTTTAGCGACCAAGATTTTAGTCGCTATTGACTTCTATTTCGCTACCAAAACATTATAGTCGGCATTGTGGATTCCTTTCCTGACTAAGACATTACATAGTCGCTAAAAGGTTGAAATAAGAAAACCCGCGCCTCTTTTATTGATGCGCGCGCGTTGCTCTGCCTGTATACTGTATACAACTTCACAACAGTGTATCGAACACACCTCACCAAATCTCACACAAATCAGCCCCCCTCACCGTAGCCTATTGTACGGGCAACATTGCGACGGCCACCGCCACCGGCGCAAAGCACCACCGTCGCAGCCGCACATCACAGGTTCGCTCTCTCTCTCTCTCTCTCTCTCTCTCGCTTTCGCGCTCTGCTTCTCACTGTCTGTGCGTCTGTCCCTTGCTCACTCGCTCGAGCTCTCTCCTACAGTCTATTTTTCGTTCCCCCACAATCTGTACTTGTTCTGTATACATACATATATATGTATATATATATGTATGTGCAGTTTTTGCTTTTGTTTTTTTTATTATATATATTTCAAAAATTGCAGATTTATTGCAAAGAAATCCTTGCAGATTTATTGCAGATTTATTGATGATTCAAAAATTGCAGATATTTCAAAAATTGCACCTTACTTGATTTAGGGTTTCAATTTTTGGGTATTTGATACATTGTGCCTTTGACTATCTTATTTTGTAAACTAGCAGATAGATTGGGGAAGATATATATATATATATATATATATATATATATATGGGACAAAGAGAATCTGGTGTTGGAGTTGTACTTTTCTAAGGTTTTGGGTATAATCAATTTGACTAATTCTTGTAAAATAGGTGGTCATGGATAAACAATTGAGAGGCTATTATGGTTCAGTGAACATTATCAAATATGAAAAACAAACCGATTCGAGCCTCTCAAATCGAAGTTTTCATTAAATGTTTTAGTGTTAGATTTTAAGTTTTACAGTGGGAAGAGTTATCATTTTCGCCCTCCATACGCGTCGGCTATATCATGTTATACTAACTTTGATCAACATACATTGTGCTTATATACACTTTTTATCGCCTTACCTCCATATGCAAACAATATGTTCTATGCATAATAAACACCAACAAAGAGAAGTGGCAGGCTCTGAAATTGGGCATGGATTGCATTAATTTGATAAATGAGAGAAGATATAAAACTCTAGAGATTATTACTTAATAAAATGTTTGTATCAAATCGTATATGATTGAGCCTTGCTAAGATGAATCGTCTAATGACTTGTTTTTCATGTTTGATTGGATTAAGACGCTGCTCAACTAATAAGAATTGTTGTGTTCATATCCTCATCTCTAAGGCTATGCCAAATTAAGCTTATCCTTGTTATTGTGACTTTTTAACTATTGACATTGTGATGGTTAGATGTGAATTAAATTTGTTATTTATTAGCTAAATTACAATGGAGGTGGTGATTGTCAAAAAGGTTTTGTTGGTGAAGCGAGTTGATTTGAAGCCAATAGTCCCAATATTTACTAGTTTTTAACATATCAGAAGAATATATATGTCCACATTTGTTGATATGGTGAACCACAACACTAATAGGATGTCATCAACTCACTTGGCTTGACAACACATCATATTCAATAGATACTACACTAGTTTTTTTTTTTTTATTTTTGGATCTTTACATATTAGAAGTATAGATGGGTATTGTCTAAAGATAGGTTGAAAAGTAAAGAGTACCAACAAGGTGTTAAATATATATAAAAGTCATCTGTCTTAATTAAGAAGTCAAAATATGACGATCATATCATTCCGTTGTTGAGTATTTTTGTTCTTTTATGGCCATCCTCAAAAGTCCTAGTTAATCTTTGCTTGACTTGTAGGGTTCAAAAGATGGACAAGAGTTGGATGATGATAAAAGATAGGTTGAAAAGTAAAGAGTACCAACAAGGTGTTAAGTCATTTATTGACTTTGCTACGAAAGATTTAGGCCCACACGATGAAATACGTTGTCCGTGTGTTGATTGCTTGAATGGCACAAACATAGTCCACAAATTGTACACCTGCACTTAATTTGAAGAGGAATCGTGTGTTCTTATAGAACTTGGGTGCACCATGGGGAACATGTTCCACTATGTCATGATCATCCTAGTGTGTCAAACATTAATGGTGAAAGATATGGAGCTACAATTTTTGACATTGATGATAATTTGGGCGAGTTGCCTATTATGTTGGAAGAGATTTACATGAGTGGCCTCATGGATGATCATATTGACGAATCACCTAATAGCTTGGAGAGAGACAATTTGGTGAATTTCATTAGGTTGTTTGATGATGCTCGACACAAAGTGTACCCGGAGTGTGAAAAGTTTTCCGTTTTGTCCTTCGTTATTAAGATGCTTCATATTAAGGTGTATAATAAATGGAGCAACAAATCATTCGATATGGTTATGCAAGTTTTCAAAGACATTCTCCCAAAGTGTGACGAAACAGTTCCGTGGACCCTTTATGAAGCAAAAAAGTTCTTACGTGAATTGGGTTTTGGATATGAGACCATTCATGCATGCAAGAATGATTGTATTTTGTTTTGGAGGGATAATGCGAAACAGGAGAATTGCCCTACATGTAAGGAGTCTAGATACAAGTTCAACAATCAGAGTGGTATGAAGATTCTTCACAAAATCTTGAGGTACTTTCCTTTGACACCGAGGTTGAAGCGTTTGTACATGTCGAAAAAAACCGCCGCAGATATGAGATGGCACAAAGAGAAGCGTGTGGATGATGGAGTGTTAAGGCATCCAGCCGATGGTCAGGCATGGAAGGACTTTGATATGCAGCATCCTAAGTTTTCTGTGGAACCCCGACATGTAAGGTTAGGGCTTGTCACGGATGGTTTCAACCCGTTTGGAAATATGAGCACATCGTACGGCATGTAGCCCATACTGTTAATGCCTTACAATCTTCCCCCGTGGAAGTGTATGAAAGAGCCATATCTGATGATGTCAATGCTTATTCCCGGTCCATTCTCTCCTGGAAGAGACATCGATGTTTACTTGCAACCATTAGTGGACGAGTTAAAGAATTTGTGGGAGCATGGTGTGCAAACATATGATGCCACAATCGGTGAAATATTTACAATGCATGCAGCAGTCATGTGGACTATCAATGACTTCCCCGCATATGGTACCCTCTCTGGTTGGACTACAAAAGGTTACTTGGCTTGCCCTAATTGTAACATAGATGCATCATCTCAGCGTCTGCGAAGTAAGATAGGGTATATGGGTCCCCGCCGGCAAACCATATTTGGTGAAGAAGTAAGCTCTTCAATGGTCAGAACGAACATCGGTCCAAACCTGTGGAGTTATCGGGAGATCAAATACTGCAGCAAATTGATTCGGGGACATATAGGCCGTATGACAAGCATCCAAACAACCGAAAAAGATAACGGAATGAAAGTCCACCTTCCAATTGGACAAAAAGAAGCATTACGTTCGACCTACCCTATTGGAAAACGCTGAAGCTTCGACACAACCTCGATGTCATGCACATAGAGAAAAACATATGTGACAATCTGGTTGGGACACTACTAAGCATTGATGGCAAGAACAAGGACACGGATAAACCCCGCTTGGATCTAGAAGACATGCGGATACGCAAGGAGTTACACTTGAAGAGGCGTTCCAATGGCTCATTTGAGAAGCCTCCGGCATCGTACACATTGCCCTTGGTAGAGCGACTAGGTTTTTGTGATTTCTTGAAATCGATTAAGTACCCTGATGCCTATGCAACAAATATATCCAATTGTGTCACCGCTCAAGGTGGAAAATTATCTGGCCTCAAAACTCATGACTGTCGTGTCTTTCTACAACGACTACTTCCAATTGGGATGCGTGGATACCTGTCAAAGGAGATTGGGACCACACTCTTTGAGTTGGGAATTTTTTTCAAACAGTTGTGCTCAAAGACATTGAGGGTGACTGATTTGGAGAAAATGGAGGAAGAAATCGTACTTCTACTTTGTAAGCTTGAGAAGATTTTTCCTCACGTGTTTTTTGATGTCATGGTCCACTTGGCAATTCATTTGCCTCACGAGGCTATGCTTGGAGGGCCTGTGCAATATCGATGGATGTATCCCATTGAGAGGTAATGCCACAAGTTCCCAAACATCCCTACTTACAAGTACTACACAATGTGAACATTAACATTCAAATCATATTGGCATGTAGGATGCTCGGACTTCTGAAAGGCTTTGTTCGCAATAAAGCTCGGCCAGAAGGGTTCATTGCGGAGGCTTACATTTCAAAAGAGTGTACGACGTTTTGTTCAATGTACTTAGACGGGGTTGAAACGATGTTTAATCGGGAAGAACGGAACTATGATGGGGGTGACAACGGCGCGGGGTTGGCGATTTTCACTCAAAATGTTCGTCCGTTTGGTCTACTAACAAGGGAAAATGATGTGTCTATAGCTGACCGTGAAAGGGCTCATTGGTTTGTCCTACACAACAGCTTAGAAGTGGAAGAATATCTAGAGTACGCGTCGAACCTGTGACGTACTATATGTGACCCATATGCTTTTTTATTAGGAATTATTCTACAAATTACTTATGAATTATATTGTCCTACGTAGGGAACACAAGACGTTGTTGCAACAACAATATGGAAGTGCATGTGACATTGCCAAGATACAATGCAAAGAATTTCCTAAATGGTTCAAAGATCGCGTATGCTAAAATTCCTTATACTGTAGTTTACACATCAACTTAAGTTATGTCAAAAAATAACAGGACAGTTTTTTCTTATGTAGATGAACCAATTGCGGCACAACAAGTCCCCCGAAGCCACCGATGAGATGTGGTCATTGGCAAATGGTCCTAACAGCTTAGTGAACACATATTCGGGATGCATATGTAATGGCGTCCGATTCCATGCTCGCGACCGTGACAACCGTCGTAAAACTTAAAATAGTGGATTGGTAGTGGAAGGGGACCATGAAGGCCAACTCATAAAGTTTTACGGCTACATTTGCAAAGTTTGGAAAATGACATATTTGTTTAGGCACCGTGTTGTTTTATTCCAATGTGAATGGTATAATACTGGTAGTAACTGAACTTTGCGTGTCGAACCACATTTCATTACTATTGATATACGTAATCGATGGTATAAAGATGACCTGTTTGTGTTACCAAGTCAAGTGCAACAAGTTTTCTACGTGCATGATACGAAGTTAGGTGCCAATTGGAGAGTAGTGGAAAAGTTTCAACAACGATGAATTTGGGATGTGCCCGAGGTGGATGTGCCACAACCTGATGATGTGTTCCAACAAGATTGAAGCACTAATGTTGTACCAACTGAGCCTATGGATGACGATGTGGTGTTGCGTCGAGATGATATTGACGCTGAAATTATTCCAACGGAAGTTTTGCAGTCTGATAACCGTGTACAACCCTTGCTTGGTATGGACGATGACTTCATATGTGATAATGAAGATGAACCGACAATGGAGGGTGACAATGAAGAAGAAGATGAGCTTGACAGTGATTTTGATTCAGATATGGACATAGAGTGTTGATGTTTTGTCTTTTTGTTGTTTTGTTGATGTAATGGGGGAAGGGATGGAGGAGATTCTCCTTCTTTATGTGTTATGTAATTAGATAAGAGTTTAGTCCTTTTGTTTATATTGTTCTTGATGTCATCATATTGGCCTTCACGTTGTCTTGGATGTTGTCTACAACCATTTGCATGGAAGTGGTCCATTTGATGAGAACTATGTTCTTGACAAGGTCATGAGTTGATTCCTATGTTGTATTTTTAGCTTTCTTTCCTTCCTTTATTTACATTTTTGTTAAAAAGATCTCTTCATACTCCTGTCATATTCAAAATACCTAGGCATCAAGGTGATTTATTAATGCACCGATTTTCATGAGTGGTTTAATTAAACTTAGGCATCAAGGTGATTTAAGTATATACTCGTTCACATGAAAGTTAAATTGCGTGGTGTTAATTTGTTTCTGGAAGAAACTTAATACATACTTTACCTAATTCCTATATTTCACATTTATGCTTAACATTGGTTTGTGTATATCACTTTTATTTGACAATCATTATCAATGTTTGCTTAATAATAGCGATGATGCTTATATAACATTGGTTTGTGTATATTAATAACATAATCGATTCTTGACCATGGGTTGTTATTGGCTCTTTTTGAGTCTTATTTTAAGGAGTTTCATAAATTAAGATTGGACCTTCTGAATAGAGAAGCGGCTGACTGCAGTTCCTGAAGCCAGCTTGTAGCGCTCTTAGGGTGAAAATGACTTTATTGAAAAAGTTTATGAATATGGCTTTATCATCTAATCGTATATGAATATGTTTATGTGTATGTATGTATATTTATATATACATATTTTATTACTGGTTTAGACTATCTCTTCAAATTCATGACTATTGTCACTGACTCACTGCAATAACATGGATTCCATGTATGTGCTCACCGAGAGTGAAAAAATGCTCATCGTGATTGGTCAGGAATGGGGCTGTAAAGTTGCTTGATAAATGTTGACAAAGAAAAGAAGGAATGAATTTGGAATTTCTTATCTGAATTAGTTTGGTAGGCCTGGGAATGAAGTGGAGATTGCTAAATGCTCATCATGATTGGTCAGTATGGGATTTTGAAGTTTCTTGTTAAATGTTGAAAAAGAAAAGAAAGAATGAATTTGGAATTTCTTACCTGAATTAGTATGGTAGGTCTCGACATATTTTCGAAGTGTTGAAAATTTCCATCATATGACATGAGAATAAATTCAATCCATGGTCTCTAAGTGTTGAAAGTTTTCATCGCTATCTTACTTGTAAATATATTGCTATTGGCCCTTTGAATATTAACAATTCTCTAGTTACCTTTTACATTGGATAAAATTTGCCGCTATGAGTTCATCCAGCATCTTAGCTTTTCTTGCTTGTCCATCCTTGTATATATTTGCATGAATATCCTTCCTGGAGTTTTTATATTTGGTGAGAACTTGTACATTTATATTTGTGGCATTGGAATAGAAATAAAGTCAGAGCCACATCAAAACACCTTGGATTTTCTTTCCATATATAAACTATGGTGCATGCCAAAATTGCCCATATTTGTGAAGGGTAAAGGAGGTAGTTTGATGGCAATAGATTGAATAGGAATGGGAGACACTTGAGGAGAAGAAACAAAGGGAAGAGAAGCAGAGGAATTCTGATTCTGTGTCTGAGTATGAGAATGCTGGGACTGAGATGAATTCTGATTCTGGTACGAGGATGCTGTGACTGAGAGTAATGAGAAGCAGACTGGGAAGTCTGCTGATTCTGTGCCTGAGAAGCAGATTGTGAATGCTGCTGATTTTGTGCCTGAATTTTGCTGATTTTGTGCCTGAATTTGATGTGAATTCTGCTGAATCTGTGCCTGAGAAGCAGTCTGTGAATTCTGTATCTGAGAAGCAGACTGTTGAGCATGAATCTGGGGCTGCACTAGAGAAATATGAGAAGAAGAATGTGATGGTGAGGATGAAGGCCAGAAAAAGGAATGTAAGGCAGGATTATCAACCTCTGATCCAGAATCATCTTTGATTGTGACGGATGGACAAGGAGAAGTACCATCAACAATTCCAAGTAAATCAGTAGCTTTCAAAATATTCTGAGTTTGATTTTTCCAAATCAGAAACATTTTAGCATCAAGTTTGATAGTGATAAACGAAGACAGATTGGAAATTAGAAGAGAAAGATTAGAAGGAATTGAAGTCATTGAATTAAATGGAATAGGAAGATGAACACAGATGAGGATTAACTCGCAAGAGATTGAAGCTCTCATACCATGTGGAAAGTTATGAAAAATTAGAACTCAATACAGAGACTCAACTTTAGATATTTTCATTCATTGATAGCTCTCTCACACACCTTACAATTCACTGAAGATAGTATCTATATATAGAAGTCTAATACAGTCTTCTAGAATTTATAACAGATTTTGCATATCACAAGTTAGTCACAACTACCACACGTGGACTACATAACTACTTTGGCAACTGTGGCTGCTTCTTCCTGGATGCTTCTTCCTAGAATTTGTAATATGTCATGGATGCTTCTTCCTGTTGCTGTCATGTAAAAAGGAACATTATGTTAAATATTTATGTGCTATTGTGGTACAAGGGGATTATTTTTCTCTGGATATATAGCAATTGAGCAAAGTCTATTAGTGTTTATGTCAATTTGTTTTTCTCACTTAACACTAGCAAATATGGTGATAAAATTTGTATATTTGGCTGAATCTATTGACTTAATAGATACTTTACCTAATTCCTGTATTTCACATTTATGATTAACATTGGTTTGTGTATATCACTTTTATTTGACAATCATTATCAATGTTTGCTTAATAATAGCGATGATGCTTATATAACATTGGTTTGTGTATATCAATTCATGTCCTCATAATATCGATGATGCATGTGATGCGTTTACTTAATATATCATGTTTTCTTGCTTGTACTTTCCAGGTACAAGCATGGTTCCTGGGGTGAAAACAGGGCGGCGTAAGAAAACAGCAACTGACCCCATAGCATTACCCTCGGGAACATTTGCACCTGTCGTTGTCACACCACAAACTTTATCCGATGAGACACAACCGTCGGATGACACACAAACATGTGTGGAAGAGACACAGGCGCACGGCGTAGGTAAGACCATTGTAGTTTTGTAGGTGTGTTTCGGCCCCTAAAGATCACTTTACTTGACTGAAGCAACAGATTTTATGTCATCTAGAAGAACAAGTTCTTGCATGTCTTACAAAATTCAATTCCCTTACAAAATTTGCTTGGATGAATGTTAAATTTAGTATTAATTATTGTTCATTATATGTTTGGCGAACTAATTGCATGTGAAGGCCTTACACTTGTTGCCCCTTCTTGACCAGGGAAAAGTAACTCAAATCGTGTACACAGTCCTACAGTCGGAAAAGGAGTGCAAAAAAGGCTTACGAGAAAAAAAGGGGAGAAGTTACATGTATATGTCAATCGCATGCTTAATGCACTCACTGGAGGGAATGCCACGCCTGCCACAAATGAGTTGGGCTTGCAAATAAGGCGGTTGTGCCCCCTTAAGGGAGTGAAGTCATGGAAGAAAATTGGTCATAGTATCAAAGATGCTGTAGTACAGGCTGTGCTAGTAAGTTTGGACCTTAAACTAAATGTCTCCATTATGTACATTATGTTTTGCGGCATTCCATTTCTGTAATACGTCACACACTTATGCTTGCAGGACACGTTTGAAATTGGTGAGGATTTTCATACTGATCAACAAGCTCAAGATATCATTGATACGAAGGCGTATCTCTTGTACAAGGATTGGAGGTACACCCTGAAGCAACACTACGAAAAACTTGTAGAAGAGGGTGTTGATGACCCATATAGTCATCCGCCTAAAGGAGTTTGCTTGGATGATTGGAAACACATGATTGATGTCGCTTGGAAGGATGAATCTCATTTGGTAACAAACAAATATAAACGACCCTATTGTTTTATTTGTGTATTATGCGTTGATATGTACTAATTCTTGAATAATTCTTGTTTTAGAAATGCTCTAAAGCTGGTAAGGCAAACTGGAGTTTGCTACCAGACAATCACACCAGTGGATCTCGCTCCTTTCCTATAGCAATGTCGCTCTTGGTGAGTTACATACATTTGGAGCAGATTTGTCAGCACTTACATATGTAAGATGAAAGTCATGGTTACTATTGTGACGAATTAATTTTGTTATTTGAAACTAACAGGCAGATGAAAATGGGGAGTTGGATTTTCTGGAATTTTATTCGAAATCACACAAATTGAAGAAAACAAATGAATGGATTGATCCCAAATGTGGTGAGCTACATGTAAGGAGTAAACTTTTCTCGCCTACGGTTGTAATAGTAATGCCTATCTTAGCAGAAAATTGCATGTGATTCTTTGTGCCGTTGTTGAATAGTCTACTTGTTTTGGTAATGACAGGATGCGATGGATCCCATTGACACATGAGGAACTCTCATGGCAAGTGCTTGGACAGAGAAAGAATTACTTGCGTGGATTTGGGATAGGCCCATGACACTATTCGCCATCTGATAGTGCGGCACGATCTCATGACAAACAAATGGAGGCAATGCGATCTGAGATTGACGTTCTTCAAGAAAATTTGATGAAGGAGAAAGAAGAGCGCCAGAGAGATCGTGAAGAGATGACGAGGGAGAGAGAGGAGTTGATGAAAGAAGTAGAAGAAGGAAAAAAAGCAAGGGAGGCGCAACAAGAACAACTGAATCATTTGAACTCTGTGGTTTTACGACTATCAACACTGTTGGAGGGTTCAGACGGGCATCGTCGTATTTGGTAAGAAGAATTTCATTCGTCTCATACTAACACTTATACACACTTAGATTTACATATTCACTAAACAATACTACGCATTGGGTATACCATAACAAGAGACACACAAAATTTGTTAGGTATAATACATCGGTATTTATGGCTAAAATTTAGTACAGCCTTCCCAAAAATGTTTTGTGCATTGAGTCTGTCATTTTGGTGCTGGGTAGTTAAAACAAATATGGCAAGGTTGGCATATGGCATTGGAGTTGAAGCAAAAGGAGATGGCTGCTGAGTTTAACTAATGATGAAGTTTGTCTGGTAAGAACATTAAACAGCAAAATTAATTTAGGAAAACATTAATGAGCCATGGAAACAATGATGAAGTTTAGAGTTTAATTTTGTTGTTTAATTTCAGAGAGAGAGAGAGAGAGAGAGAACTTTCAGAGAGGTCACCACATAGAAGGGTAAACATAGTGCTAATCTAATGTTATGAATGTTTCAGAATGTGACGAGCAGAAATAATTTCCTTTTCAGAGTCAAATTGAAGTCCAATGCTTCCTATCTGGGGTAATATTAGTATTTCTCAAATAAAAGATTTATGATTACTATTTTGAGAAATGCAGTTGTGTTATCAATTTTAAGAGTGCATGCCTCCGAACATTACAAGTTGCTCTTATACTACTACATTACAAAACTCATGGTTGAGTTCTTTTGAATGATGTAGAGCAAATGAATTATGAAAAGAGAGAATCATGATCTTGCAAGGTGCACATTTACGCCTCATCTAGTGAAGCTTTGGGTCAATCCAAGATTTAATTACATTTCATATAAAGAGTAAGTTATTGTTATAGTTTTACCAATGTTTTCTTATGTTTTAAAAGTTAAAGATATTTTGGTTAACTTGACTTTGCTATGAGATGGGCTATGATGACGGCCTATGAGTTAAAAATCAGTCAAATTAAGTTATTGGGTCATTATATAAGGTATATAATGTTCTTAATGAAAACAAAAAAGATATTAATGAAAACAGAGAACGCTGATGGCCTATGAGTTAAAAATAAGTCAAACTAAGTTATTGGGTCATTATATTAGGTATATAATGTTCTTAATGAAAACAAAAAAGATATTAATGAAAACAGAGAAGTTTCTTAATGACCACACTTTTATTTCAAAATAATAGGAATCCACCGGTCTAACCACAGAAACCAATTTGATCAAACAGGATCCTATTGGATCCAAATTCAAGGATGATTTGACTCTTATGTTTTCATTGGAAGTTGAGCCTATTACTACGCCTAAGCAGAACAGGGCACACTATAAGATAGAAATTTGCATTAAACAAAAATTAGCATGTCAAATATAACAAATTACTTTATTATAGGGCTTCATCATTTGTTCTTAATTCATAGAGATTGGAGTATGTGATTTAAATTTGCTGTTTAATGTTTTCCTAAATTAAAAATTAATTGGAGTATGTGAGTTTAACTAATGATGAAGTTTTGCTGAGTTTAACTAAATAGGGTGTGTGGTCAAAATTAGTTTGTCTGGTAAGGATTGGGTGTGTGCAATGCAAGTTGGGCAGATAAAATGAGCCATGGAGACAACCAGCAGTGTGGAAAATTATGAAAACAAAAATGAGTGTAAGAATAATATATAAAAGAAAGAAAAGTTTAGAGAAAGAGATAAAGGGACAGAGTGAGATACCAGAAATCTCTTGTAAGCTCTTAAAGCCCTTGAAGCTCTTTCCAATCAATCTTTGGATCTTCTGTATTGTGATTAACTCTCTTCTGATTAAATTCTTCCACTTACCCAAATGAACCAACCACATGGTTTACAATTACATATATGGCCAGACAAAAAAAAAAAATTAAGTACATACCATCCAAACACTGTTGCCACTGAAGTCATATCGATGTAATGTTCATCTTTTATTCCCTTACTATGCATATGCCATGTACCATTCAAAAATGGAAAATGTTAAACAACTAATTATATACACAAAAATTCCAACTAGAATATTGTTTATCAATCTTATCTTTGCATTTCTATTTGTGTTTGGTTTATTGTTTACCATCGCAAGACATATCTAGGAAAATTGGAAGTCCTTGTCAAAGAGGCATTGAAAAGAACTTAGAACTCCTTGCACATGCTTGAAGTCAAATAAGCCATTCATGGTGTCGCAAGGGTAATTTATGGTTGACAGTCTGCACCAAGTTAGGCTCCGGCATGCTAATTTTTGTAAAGTCAAGAGTAAATTTGCATGAGATCTTTCTAGTTTTAGAATAACTCTGGCCGGACCTCACATCATTGTGCCGTGATGGGTTGTTGAGGTGTCTGATTTTGATGACGCTGAATGGGATTTACAACCTTTCTTTCTAAAGGAGCTTGGATTCTGGCTAGTGAGCTAGTCTTTGCCTTCCTTTTATAGGGGAAAATTCAGATTTTACTCAAGCTTCATAAATATTTTCTTGAAGGATGTATGGAGGTTTCTCCGTCTTCTAATTCTATTTGGTCATTTTCCTTATTTTTGTCTGCTCTAGTAATGGCTTACATATCTATTATAGAGGCTTATAGGGTGTTAAATCTTTGCTTCACCAAATAGCATCATCAATTTTTCTGTGTTGTTTATAATCCTTTAAAGGATCATTAGGGTTAGGCTTGAGCTGTTCTGGTGGAAAATTCTCAGGAAAATTTTTAGGAAAAGAAATTTCCCTTACCATCCTTTACAAGGGGATTAGTGGGAATGTTTCTTTGGGCTCTATTAGTTTGATGAAAAATTCTTCAGGAAAAAATTCTTTAGGAAAAAAAGAGGGTAACTTAGTAGTGTCAATCGACATTTTCCTCACATGAAAAGACCAGATCAACTTTCTTGAAGCTTTATCCTCCGCTGTAGCTCCTTTTCCAACAAATTCACTGAGCAGCATTAGTTTGTTAATAAACTGACAGCTTATTCAGACCTCCAACTATGATAATCTCCTGTCTACAATTCCCAATGTTGGTACCTGTTAATTTATGTTTTATTTTTATTCTTTTTATTTTGTATGTCCTTTTAAATAAATGTTAAAATTGAATTGGTGCTATGGTATTTTTTTTCATTACATTAGGACACTAGTTATTGATTTTTTAAAGCAGAAACACTATTTTTGTCACACCTATGGATTGCCACTGCATTAGCATTTTGCTAGGATATTGTGTTCTTTTGAGCTAAACAATTTCATCAAACCACAGTATGAAGCTTGGAGTATGGCTTAGGCATCAAACTTGAAAACTTTATCTAGGCGCGTTTCATTTCATTCACATAATTTATTTTGGATGTGAAAAAAGATTTAGTTTCCTTCTGTAAGAAAATTGTTAAGGATGTCTCTATAAATTCAACTGGTTTTGCTAGTTTATTGATGTCCAAAAGGTGTCTTCCTGAAAGGTAAATCTGGTTTCTTTGGCTCCCAAAAAAGATGAATCCAATTTCTGTGTTTGTCAACTTAGTCCTTTCAAAAATACTTTCACATTTAGCCACTATATTTTGTAGTGCACAATCAAGATTGGTTCAGACCTGTGATTTGAGAGTTACAACATATCAATTTTCCTAGTTTTATCATAAATTGTAGGTGGGCATTTGTAAACTTCAATCTCAAAACCAGGGGATCTATTTATCCCAATCAATATTGGATGGTCGGGAATGGTAGATGCTCCTCTTTAGTGAATGTTAACCTAACCTTTTTTTTTCTGCATACAGATGAAACCAAACATGAAACATATTGTTATTTGTAGGAATTGTTTTTCTGCGTAAAAAGTTTGTCCTTCATTTTGTAGGGTGGATCAGCACTTCTATACTGTGTTTGGATTTACGATTTGAGAAAAGAAAAGAACAGAAAACAGAAAGAGAAATACGATTCTATTTCATTCATTTTCCCCTTCTTATTTCCTTCCCACCACAAATACTTCATCCAAACATAGCCTAACATAGCCTTATTTCCTTGCCACCACAGCAATTAATAATTCAGTTGTACTCCTAGAGAACTGAGGACCACCTAGATCATGTGGTTGTTAGTGCATGAGACCTAAATCATGTGGCCATGTATGCATGAGTTAGAGGGACAAAAGGCTTTTTAGGTACAAAAGATCCAGTACATGCATGGCTGCATGAGCTATGGGTGAAACTTTGGTGAGTCTAACTTGAACAACCTTAGCTTGCAAAATTTAACGCCTTTGGTTAGTATAATTCCAAATTTAGAGTAAAAATTTGTCAATCCAAATTAAATTTGAACATTGCATGGGATCTCTCTAACCAAGCAACCTGGATTATGTTTCATGTTTATAATTTCTCAAAACTTGTATATTTAAAAACAAATTGCAATACATTGGTTTAAGATAATCAAAAAGTTTCGTTGTATTGAGTTTGGATAACTCAAGCTGAGATAAGCTCAAACTTAGACTGGATGGGTAACTCAAGCCGATATAAGCTCAAACCTAGACTAGATAGGATAGATTTTCTCATCTTAAATTTGCCAAATAGGACTTGTGACAACTGACGGAATGTTATTCGGACCTATAGGTTGGGATTTAGAGCCGAATACGCTCAAAACTTAGTTGAAAAAGGGCGTTTCGGGGGCGAAAATTCAAAACAGCCCCCGAACCTCCGTGTGGCCGAAACAAACAGTTTTCCCATGCCAAATATGACTTGTGACAACTGACTGAATGTTATTCGGACCTATAAGTTGGGATTTAAAGACAAATACGCCCAAAACTTAGTCGAAAAAGGGCATTTCGGGGGCGAAAATTCAAAACAGCCCCCGAACCTCCTTGTGGCTGACACGGGAAGTTTCCCCATGCCAAATAGGACTTGTGACAACTGACGGAATGTTATTTGGACCTATAGGTTGGGATTTAGAGCTGAATACGCCCAAAACTTACTCGAAAAATGGCGTTTCGGGGGCAAAAATTCAAAACAGCCCCCGAACTTCTGTGTGACTGAAACGAACAGTTTCCCCATGCCAAATATGACTTGTGACAACTGACGGAATATTATTCAGACCTATAGGTTGGGATTTAGAGACGAATACGCCAAAACTTAGTCGAAAAAGGGCGTTTTGGGGGCGAAAATTCAAAACAGTCCCCGAACCTCCGTGTGGCCGACACAGGTAGCTTCCCCATGCCAAATAGGACTTGTGACAACTGACGGAATGTTATTCGGACCTATAGGTTGGGATTTAGAGCCGAATACTGTTAGAATTTACCATCACCTACCACCACTACCACCTCACCTACTCCACTAAACCTAACCCACTACACCACTACCACCTCACCTACTCCACTAAACCTAACCCACTACACCACTACCACCATCCACTACACCTACATCTATATAAGGAACCATTTGTAATAGACAGAATATCAATCAATCAATCAATCAATAATATCTCAATTTTAACATGGTATCAGAGCAGGTTTAGAACCTACTATTTTTTCGCTTCACCGGCGGACGGCAACCTCACCTTAGCCGTCCGCCGGACCTCAACCTATTCCGCTTATTTTCTACACATACCTTCCCATCATCCCCTGCTCGAACCAAACAAACCCGTAGTAGATTCATCTGTTGGAGCTCAGGGAGAGAAACCGAGGGAGTGAGAGAGAGATGCAGACTGCGGTGTTGAACCCATCATATTCTGTCTGCAGGGCCCAACAAACCCTCGAACCTTCTTGTTCTCTTTCCTCTCCATCCACAACACCTTTCTTCCACCCCTCTTCACCCTTCAAGAACTCCATCTTTGGCCCTCGAATTTTTCTATCTGAGAGAAGCAATCTGGTGCAGCGGAGCTTTGCACGTTCCGTGCCCACTGGGATACACAGGCGAGTTGTAAAGACGGTTGCCACGCCAGATTCAGCTGTGGAGTTGTCCCTAACAGCAGAAAATGTGGAGAGTGTGTTGGACGACATTCGACCGTATCTCCTTGCCGATGGTGGTAATGTGGCACTACACGAAATTGATGGCAATGTTGTGAGGTTGAAGCTACAAGGAGCATGTGGCTCCTGTCCAGGTTCTGTAATGACTAGGAAGATGAGCTGATTGATGTTGGCACATGGGGAAGTGACTCACGTGGGTGGTAATTTGGCCCACGATTTTTATCAAAACCAGCGTATAGTTTCAAAGACGCACTCAAGTACACCCACTATTTTATTTTGCCAACTTTCTATTCTTATTAGTATTATTATTATACAAAACAAAACAACCCACTGCTTTTCTATTTTATTTTATCACATACCTTCACTCTTGTTGTGAGTGTGTCCGGCTTTTCTTTTTTTTAACTTTCTTTTATTTTAATATATATATATATATATATGTATCTGTTTATTCTACTATATTCTCAAAGCAACTGAGTTACTCCACCACCTTTTGCACCCCACTCACGATTATTTTATTTTATCTTTCTTTTTTTATTTTAAATAAAATAAAAAATTAAAAAAAAATAAAAAAATTAAAAATAAAATAAAAATAAAAATAAAAAAATCCTTTTTGAAAACACACTTTATTCCTCTCCATGTGCTGTTACCCATTATAGAATATATATCTATTTAAAAAAAAAAAAAAAATCACCAAAATAACACCACAAACATTCCACACACTTGTCATTTCTTCATGCCGGGGCTCCACCCCGATCACAATTTTACATCATAAAAAAAAGAAAAAAAAAAAAAAAAAAAAAAAAAAAAAAAAAAAAAAAAAAACCACCAACAACAACAACCACACCCACAGTGGGATTTTTCTCTACTCTGCCGCCGGTCTTTTCTTCTTGCCTCCGTCTTGGGGGCCCTTGCCGGTGTTGCCTCCGTGTTTCCTTGTCCCCAGCACGTTCACTCCCCCTACTCCTCCACTGCAGCATATGGAGGACCTCCAAACGGAACATCACGGTGGCCTTCCGCTTCAGCTCCTTGTTTCTGCCCTTAGCACGCTTATCTCTGCTCGCGCATCCTTATACATGCGTTGGAGCAGAGCCAGCTGGGAGTTTAAATGCTGCACCTCATTTGTCCTACTCCGCAGCCGGTTCGACAAGTTTGTGACCGCCGTCATGCTTTCCACACATGCTTCAGGTATACTGATTGGCCTCCACATCCGACTGCACTGCCATTCTTTGCTCCACCGACCGCATCGGAAAGTTCACGAGCAAACTCCGGGCGCTTGGTTGAGTTCCAGTGCCACCGCACCAGTTCTCTCTCTTGTTGACTCGTTGAGGTCGGGAAAGAGGTGAGCAGCTCCGGGAAGACGATGAAGCCATTTTCTGGCTACAAAGTGTTCACAGTTTCTCTCTCGAAGAGGCAGAGTTTTCAGAGAAGGGTTTGTTCAGAGGTTTCAGAATGTTGCCTCAGCCTCAGCTTCGTCTGTTATAGCCGAGGCAGCCACGCGCATCGCGGCGCTCTTCCACCAGCGACAAACGGGCACGCAACCAAGGCCCACGTGCCTCGCCATCATGTCCGGCACACCTTTTGATGAATGGGCACGCCTTTTGATGCACGCCTTTTGAAAATTGGGCACCCTTTTGAGGGTGCGACTTTTAAGGGTCGACAAACCGTATCGTCAAGTCGACAAGACTCTGTAAACTGTCCCGACATTGATTCCGGTTAGCTTTCTACAAGGGTCCGACAAGACTCTGTAAACTGTCCGACATTGATCCGGTTAGTTCTACAAGGGTCCGACAAGACTCTTAAACTGTCCCGACATTGATCCGGTTAGTCTTCATGGCGTCCGACAAGACTTTGTAAACTGTCCCGACATTGATTCCGGTTAGTTTCTACAAGGTCCAGCAAGACTCCGAAAACTGTCACAACAACTGTCACAACTCTGACACGAAACATGTCTGCTACAACGGTCCGACATGACCCCATAAACATGTCTTTACAACGGTCCGACATACCCATAAAACTGTCTTCTACATCGGTCTGACACCGCCATCCAGTGTCCTCTACACCGTTATGACACCACCATACAGTGTCTTCAGCAACGGTCTGACACGACCATACAGTGTCTCCTATTTTTTTTTTTTTTTATGTATTTTCTTGTTTTGTTCCTCTCTTCAAACTCAAGTTGGTTAGTTTCTATCCTCCTTGAGTTTGCGGGGGGCTGTTAGAATTTACCATCACCTACCACCACTACCACCTCACCTACTCCACTAAACCTAACCCACTACACCACTATCACCATCCACTACACACCATCCACTACACCTACATCTATATAAGGAACCATTTGTAATAGACAGAATATCAATCAATTAATCAATCAATAATATCTCAATTTTAACAAATACATCCAAAACTTAGTCGAAAAAGGGCGTTTCGGAGGGCGGAAATTCAAAACAGCCCCCAAACCTCCATGTGGCCAAAACGAACAGTTTTCCCATGCCAAATATGACTTGTGACAACTAACGGAATATTATTCAGACCTATAGGTTGGGATTTAGAGACGAATACGCCCAAAACTTAGTCGAAAAAGGGCGTTTCGGCGGCAAAAATTCAAAACAGCCCCTGAACCTCCGTGTGGCCGAAACGAACAGTTTCCCCATGCCAAATATAACTTGTGACAACTGACGTAATGTTATTCGGACCTATAGGTTGGAATTTAGAGCCGAATACACCCAAAATTTAATCGAAAAATGGCGTTTCGGGGGCGAAACTTCAAAACATCCCCCGAACCTCTGTCTGACTCTCACGGGCAACTTTCCCATTACAAATAAAACTTGTGACAGCTGACGGAATGCTTTAAACTTGCTAATTTTGTGAACATACACGCGTGTTATTATTTTTATCACATGTTCTAATTTCCTCTCTGAAATGGCACTGACATACATTAATAAGCACCGATGGTTTTATATCCAATCTAATGATTCAAGTGCCTTTTGCAAACAAATAATGAGGAAGTTGGTAAAAAGAATACTTTCTATTCACATTGGGTTTTAATATTAGTTTAGCCACAGCATTTGGATACATGTTGCATACAAATAAAAGACTGTTACATTAGCTGTATGTTACTAATGAAAGATTTAGTAATGATTGTTCTGCATTTAAGAATGTTTCTTATAACAAAAGACTTTAGAAAGACTGTACAATGATTGATAATTGATTCATCATGGAAGGTTGCTTCTCACTTATTTTTATTTGTCACTTGTTCCCAAATTCATTCATGATTGTTCCCAAATTCATTCATGAAGTTGGGCATTTTTGGGTCAAATTCTAATGTTTTTTTTGTTTTTTGTAGATGACTTCGTTGCGTGGACTTACAGAGATATTTTGGTGTATGGAGAAGAAATTGTACTTTTGTATAGAAGTAATATAATACTTTTGTCGTCTCCAGCTTTTGTGCAGTTAACTATTCCTGATACAGAAAACTATTGGCAGCGAACAGATAATTATTGGCATGGTAGATAGATCACCTTTTGACGCCGTCCACTAAATTGATTTTTTGTCGTGGTACATAGATGTATTTTTGGCTTGGTACATACATCACCTTTTGTCGTGGTACAGATTACGATGGTAATTTGTACCATGCCAAATGGTCATTTCACATGGTATAGTAAATGTAATTTTTGTATATGAAGGGCTTTACTTTTTGTATGATTGAATATGTTGTATGGAATTATTATTTTAGTTTGGACAATAGTTCGTTTGTATGTACTTAGACAATTAAAGTAACTTATTTTTTGTATACGGATGCAGATTGTGGAATGATTGATAATTTATGTATCATTTTATTTATATACATATTACAGGTTGAATGGAATACAGACAGGTTATGGACACATTATAATATTAGCAATAAAACATAATATCATGCTTTTGCCAACTAAACGTTTTGTAGCCAATAAAAAGGGGAAAAAAAAAACAAACATTTGGCTACTAAATTTTTTGTAGGCAAAAGAAAAACAACCATTTGACTACTAAATGTTTTGTAGCCAAAAGAAAATCAAACCTTTGGCTACTAAAAGTTTTGTAGCCAAAAGAAAATCAAACCTTTGGCTACTAAAAGTTTTTGTAGCTAAAAACAAAGTTGAAGAATAAATATGACTTTTGGGGACTAAAAATTTAGTAGCCAAAAATGTAGTAGTTTAAGCGATTAAATTTTTAGTAGCAAAAAATGTTGAAGTTTAGGCGACTAAATTTGTAGTAGCCAAAAGAAATAGTATTTGGCAACTAAAGTTTTAGTAGCCAAAAAAGATTGACTTTAGGCGACTAAAATTTTAGTAGCCAAAACACTAGTATTTGCTTTTGGCGACTAAAAAATTTAGTAGCTAAAAATTTTTTGGCCACTAAATAATTGGCTTTTGGCGACAAAAAAATTGGTCGACAAAAATGTATTTATTTACTTAATTTTCAAACCTATTGGGGACTAAATATTTAGTCATCAAATAAATACATTTGGCGACTAAATTAGGTTTAGTCGGCAATTATATTTCTCGACTACTCGTTGGCTACTAATTTTTCGACCAAAAAATTTAGTCACTAAAGACTATAGGCGACTAAAATATGACTTTTGGCGACTAAAAATTTAGTCGCCAAAAGTGAAAATTCTTGTAGTGATTGTCTCACCCCAAAAAAATCTTGGCAATTTAGCTTGTGAAAGCAAACACCTTGTTCTTTTCACAATGGTGTGATTCATCCTCTCGGCAACCCATTTTGTTAAGGAGTTTTCTTAACTGTCTTTTGGTGCCGAATACCTTGGCTGCTACAATACTCATCAAATGGCCCAATGTATTCCCCACCATTGTCTGATCGGATGCACTTCAATTTCTGCCCTATTTCTCTTTCAACCATGGCCTGAAAATGCTTAAATACTTCTAGAACTTGATCTTTAGTTTTTAGTAGAAAAGCCCAAACTTTCCTTGAATAATCATCAATGAAAGTAACAAAATAAAGTGTACCACTATGTGTTCTAACTTTTAAAGGACCACAAACATCCGAATGAATCAACTCCAACACATTTTCTTTTCTAAAAGCAACATTTTTATGAAAAGAAACTCTATGTTGTTTATCTGCCAAACAATGAACACAAGTTTTAAGATGTGTACCTTTCAAACCGGGTAGAAACTCTTTCTTGAACAAAACTTGTAGTCCTTGTGCCAAGCCGCTTGTGCCACAATTCGGTAGAATTATCATCTTCAAGTGCATTGACAACACCTTTACAAATTTTTCCTTGCATCGAATAAAGTGTATGAGTCTTCTTGCACTTAGCCACCACTAAAGAACCCTTTGTGAGCTTCCATATTCCATCACCAAATTTGTTGTTGAAGCCTTCATCATCTAGCTTCCCAATAGATATCAAATTGAGGCGAATGCCAGGAACATGCATCACATCTTTAAGCAACAACTTGCAACCCAAATTTGTTTCCAAGCAAACATCACCCATGCCAATAATCTGGGACAAATCTTCATTACCCATTCGAACAGAACCATAATCTCCTTTGGTGTAGGTAGTGAAGAAATCAACTCGAGAAGTCATATGAAAAGAAGCACCGGAATCAATCACCCAATTGCTCTCTTGGCCTACAAAATTGATAGAATCATCTTCACAAACGACCATAAGATCACCATTGGTAGTAACTGTCGTTGTGTCTTCTTGCTTCTTATACACACTTTTGTCACGTATTTTCTCCTTGTTCTTGAGCTTTCGACATTCCCGCCCCCTGCATGTGCCCTTTCTCATGGCAATAGTAACACTCAATGTCTTTCTTTGAAAAAGAACCATCTCTTGATTTGTCACAACTTTGATCACGACCATGAGGAGTCTTACTCCGCCCCCTTATTTTGCTTCGGCCTCTCACAACAAATGCTTCTGAATGAGAGGAACCCGCTGATTTTCTTCTTATTTCTTCATTCAATAGGCTACTAGTGACTTGGCTCATTGTGACAACTCCATCGAGCGCCGAATTACTAACAGTCACAACCAAAGTCTCCCAACTTCCGGGCAAAGAACTAAGTAGCATCAAAACCTGCAACTTATCATCAAAAATAATTTTCATAGAAGCAAGTTGGTTAACAATGCTCTTTATTTCATTCAGATGTTCTGGAATAGGGCTGTCCTCTTTATATTTTAAATTAACCAACTTACGAAACAGAAAAACTTTATTTGTGGCTGATTTCCTATCATAAAGGTCTTCTATTTTTTTTCCATAAATCATGTGCTGAAGTTTTAGTAGCAACATGATAAAACACACTGTCATCAATCCATTGACAAATAACACCAACAGCTTTTCGATTAAGCCTCTTCTACTCATCATCTTACATACTCTCGGGTTTGCCACAATCACACTCAATGGGTCCATACAAATCTTTACAAAATAATAGGTCATCCATTTTAGTTTTCCAAGTTACCCAATTGCTTCCATTGAAGCTAGACATAGGACCCACATTCTCCTTCATTGATTTACACAAATAAATATACCCAAATAAATCATAAGCTTTGATTCCGGTTGTTAGGAAAGATATGTGATTCCCCACAAGTAAATCAATCAATGGGAATAAAAACTAATACGAAAAAATTAAATCAAAAGCAACACAAGAATTTTTACGTGGTTCCCTCAATGTAAGGTACGCCCACGGGATTGAAATCTGATTCCACTATCAACCAAATAAGTTTCCAAACGATTACAAACGAGACACGAATGGTCTCACAAAATCACCCTTAGGTGAATTTCAAATAATCACAAATAAATAAGAAGAAAGTTCCCACCAAATAGATAAACAAAAAGTCTTCACCACAGCTCTTCGATGCATAACCAAATCAAGCACAAAGTTTGACCAAACTCAGCCACCAGTGAAAATTCACCCAGCACCAAAGCTTGGGAACACACCAATTAATGGTGGAGTAAAAAAACCATGCAGCATGAACTCACCGAATTAATAATACCCGAGCACTATCCACCGAAGAATAAATCACTACTGCCGCTAATATCTACGAAGAACTAAAACCAATATATATATATATATATTATTGAATCTCAGGTTTTTATCAAAAACTTCAGTTGTTACCAAATTGAATTGGTTCCCTAAAAATTAGATATAATATATTGAAATATATTATACTTAAACTAAACCAAATTAAAATTTTTTTACAAACCAATTGAGTCTAAAACTCCAATAAGAAGATATACCTAACACAATTTACCATAAACAAAACAAACAATACGCGAGAGAAAGAGAGAGAAATAGCAGACAGAGAGCACTAGTCTAGTTCTTGGAAGAAGAAGAAGAAGAAGCAATTAATTTAGTTAGAGAAAGAGAGAAGAAAACATAGAGAGAGAGAGAGAGAGAGGATAGATCATGTGCAGCGGAGACGGTGATTGCAGGCGTCTGGGGTTCCTATTAGGCCTCCCCTTCGCCTTCCTTTCCCTCCTCATCTCCCTAGTCGGTATCCTCATCTGTATCGTCGGGTTCGTCTCTCTCTCTCTCTCTCTCTCTACACACTTGGTGTCTGCTTCTTCATGTGCCTGACCAATGATAAGTCATGTATTCATTTGATCTTTTACTATTAGTTCGACGTGAAATCTCTAAAAGATAAAGATAATTACTCAAGGTTTAACGTATGTTTATGTCTATTTTATTTTTCATTTTTTCAAAATATCCCATAACAATTAGGTGAGCAACGCAGTAAATTCAGTGTTTTTTTTTTTCCCTCAAATCTATCAACCTTTTATTTTAGATTTTGAATTTAATCATATAATTTAAAGTTTTATTTTTTTAATAAAATAATTTAATGTGCACACATTAAATCTATATATATATATATATATATACTATTATTAAAAATGAACAATTCTATCAACTTGTTTCTTTCCTTTTGCCAAGTGACCTTTTCTCTTTATGTCAAGGTAATAGTTATGGGTTCGTTTGGGAAGTAGGTTGACTTTTTGACTTTTTGATTTTTTTGACTATTTTAGCTTGGGGCTAAAAAGCCTAGTTTGGGAAGAACTTTTAACTTTTTTGATTTTTTTATGAGAGAAAGAATGTAATGATTATAGGTTAGATGTAATGTTTTGTCTTATTAAACTAAAAAGTCTATTTTATTTTTTGTGGCTATTTTAGTCAATAAAACCTCAAAACCAACTTTTCAAATGGAGGCATAATAGGGACATAAGGGCATGTTTGATTGGAGGGATTAAAGCATGGGATTGGGATTATTAATCCGTGGGTCCAATTATCCTATGTTTGTTTTGACACATTGGTTTAGGATTATTAATCCAATGGATAATTAATCCAACAAATTTGTAGGATTATTAGTAATGGGGTAGGGGTGGGATAGTTAACACCACACTAATTTAATAGGATTATTAATACTTCACTAATAGTGAAGTGAATCAAACATGACCTAAGAGTTAAACCTATGACCATTGGTTGACTTAATAAAAAATATTTTCATCATTCAAACAGTGTAGAAGATATGCTTTCAATTCAAAATTAAAATTTATATATTAAGTACACCGAGCGGGTGGGCTTACAACCTAATTATTACTATATAAAATGAACAACTCACTTATTATTTAAATTTTCTCTTTAGGCCACATTTTTTTAATTTAAAATAAATAATAAAAAAAATTAGATGGTTTGAGAGACTTGAAACCTAGAACATGAGTTTATCAAATGAGAATTTTACCACTTAAATGATACAACAATGATTTATACTACTAAAAAAAAAGACCACTAATAGCACTAATACATTGGGAATGTCAAAAAAAAAAAAAAACAAAAAAACAAGGCTTAGGTAGTAGGTGGGGCTCACTGCCACATCATTAGTGGTGCTATTAGAGTACCACTTTTAGTGATCTCAACCATTTTTTTAAACGATGTACAATATACTATAAATATCTTATTTTATTTTTATTTATTTATTTGAATTATACATGTATCCATATTACATATATACAGGTAGAGAGACTATTAGTGTCTGCTCGCCCATGAATGTGTTGTTAATTCTGAAAAACATAAATTTTGGTGTAAGTTAGTTAGTTGTGTATTGATGATGTGATTGTGAGTGTCTAATACAGGTCGGTGTTGACATGCATATGTCCGTGTTGTCTGTGCGTGACGATCATAGTGGAACTTGCCTTGGATCTCATCAAAGCTTCTATTCATGTCATGGAGTGGTTCACCTCTCAGATACCCTGTTGAATTTGTCTTCTTCTTCTTCTTCTTCCATATTATTATTCACCATATAATTACAATATGTGTTGTACCTTCTTCTGCGTAATTAATTAATTAATAACAAAATTTTATGTTTGATTATGGTGCTTGAGATTTGTCTGTCCTTAAATTGTTGGATTTTCATTACCATTATGATTGATTATTAGTACACTTTTTGCTTCTTTAAAATTATAAGTAATTTTTTTTTTCTTGCTTTGATTGTTCAGTTCTTGTTGTTACGCGATTATTAGTTGCAATTTAATTGCCTTCATTATGTGAGAAGGACGAACGGATTAATTAAGATTGTTCTTAATAGCATTCCATTAATTACTCTAGAGCCTATATTTTTTTGAACTCCACCATCAAAATTGCTCCATTCTTCATTTTTTTTTTAAACTACCACCATAATTCTTTTTTTTTTTTTTGATCGGGACCATAATTCCAAATATACTTTTTGAACCCTCACACTTTCCCTCCGGCAACCCCTTCCTCACCGAAAACCCTCTCCCAACCCCCCTCATCCAGTCGCGACCTTCCCTCATTAGTGACTTCCCTCTTCCAACGACCCATCGCCCTAGCTCCTTCTTTCTTTCCCTCTTCCCACCGTCACCCTTCCTACCTCATTTCTTTCATCCAAATATCTTATTTCACGAATCTCAACTGTTTGCCATCGCCACAACCCACACAACTATCCTAGAGCCCTCTCTCGCTATGCTTATGTTCGATTCCTCTTCATTTGAAATCATCACACCTGCTTTAGAAAATCAATATCGAACAATATGGGTGCATTTTGAGGCTCTCGTGAAGAGCTAAAATGCTTACGTTCGTGGATGTTACATGTTATTGTAGTATATAATCTGGCGTCATTAATTTTCTTGTTTTGTTTTGAGCAAATTATAATGACCTCTTCTAATAATTGCATAAATTATAGTTCATCCCATTAATTTGGGAAATGACCCTGACCATCACCTCAAAAGTTAATTTTGTTAACGGAATTGGTAAAATGACAAATATTTTTTTCCCATCAATCTCGCCTTCCTATTTATGTCCACCACTACTTCCATGTCTCTTAACAGTTGCCCTCAGCCACCTTACCACCACTTTTCAAGTTATCAACCTTGTCTTACCTCCATAGCCAACCCCACACCCCAGTAGCATCCAACACCATCACAAATCCACAAAATCGAAAATCAAGAAATCAATTAAAAGATAAATAGATACATAAATAAAAATAAGTCAAAATCCACCACTTCCACGCGCCTTTAATATTCCTTTTACCATTCACTGCTACAAAATATCATGGTTATTAACCATGAATGTTAATTATAGTATTTTTATTTATTTTTTTATTTATTAAAGCATGATCTTTTCGAGTGTGATTGCTAAGAATCATTTTCAATTATACTTTTTTGACCATGATTAAGAGATAATTCCATCACATATTTTGACTGTGATAATAAATATTTAGATCCCAGATTTTAACCGTGATTTTAATACCAATTAAGCTGAGATTGAATTTAAGTAATTCGTGATTAGTAATGAGATAGGATCACAATTATAACCATTTTTTGTCACGGTTAGTTCGTATGATAAAAAAAGTCTCAGGCCACAAAAATGTTACTATCAATCACAGTACATAAACTGTGATTAAAATCTAAATACAAGTAATATCTAAAATATAATCAATAATATTTGTACATTTTTAAATGTATAATACACCTATTATTAACTATCCTTTGAATCACAACATTGACTACATATGAGTAGCTAATAACCTCATATATTTCATAAATACAAGTCGAATGTTGAAAAAATATATATAAAGAAAGTTAAGGGATAAAAGGTTTTTTCACTGTCATTACACAACAAAAATCTCATTACAAAAAATAAAAAATAAAAACTTAAGGAAAACTCAATGTGTTCTTGAATGTTTTGTCTTCTTTGACCATGTTGTGCAATGAAAACACAAATTAGTTTAGAGGCCACTAAGCATAGGAATAAACTTACTCATTTGTTTAAAATTAAAGAAAGAAAAAATTAGAAGGAAAAAAAAATCTAAAATATGATTCAGTCGATTGATGAAGCCAAGTAACGAAAATTTTTCAATAATTGTGGTCTGAAATAGCAGCTATTAACATTAGGCACTCAAATTGTATATCTACTAATGGATATATTGACTAGCCACATGCAAGATGAGGTAACTGTTATTCATAAAATCATTAATGATGCAGTCGATTGATGAAGCCAAGTAATGAAAAATTTTAACCTAGAAACATAGATGACGATGATTAAAAGAAAATTAAAAACAAAAATGAATTCCCAACAAACAAATTGATATGTAAGAGTGAAAAACAAAAATCAAATATTTGATAAATGCAAAGAAAAAGAAGAAGACAGATTCCACTTAAATGAGAAATAACATTGGAGAAAAGACAAGCTGCCCCCAGGGATGCTAGCAAGAAGTCTTACCTATTGGGCCCAGCTGCACTTTTATACACACTAATAGAGAAAAATATAACATACCAACAAATATAATGAGCTAATGTTACACTAACAAATGAAATTGACAAACATGACTCCAATTGTAATGCTCCGATTTTTATTATTCGAATAATATTACCACATTCGTTATCATTATCCAATTTCACAAGAAATATGAGGAAGCTACAATCATAATGTAAAGAGCATCAGTAGTTCTCTCTCGTTTATACACATGATACAATAATAGATTACATTTGATTGAAATGTCCTTTGGCTTACAAGTACTATGAAAATAAAAAGGGTTGACCCTTAACAAATATAACGGCGTTCCACCTACATATAAATGGTCCTGTGGCCGAAAACAAATAAACTTCTTAACTCCCAAGTAATTCTCCATCTCTGCACTTGAAAATTTTCAATAACATGGAATAAACATACAGTCAAATAAGAATCCCAATAATTCTAATTAATGTAGTACAATGATCATGAATGCTCCACATAAATACACATATCAATAAGGTTCGCTTTTTGATATCAAAATATACATATAAATAGGTATACTCTTCTTCAAAAGCCATTCAATTGACATTTCAAGAAAAACAATCAAATTCCTCCACTTCCATTTGTTTCTTAAAAACTTATATAAATCCATCACTTTTGATATTTATAAACCATTTCCAAAATATTCCCACCTTCTTGGGATTGAACAACCAAAGCAACTTAAAGGCAAACTCAATCCAATGAATTTGAAGTAACTCACAATAATGTATCAAGTCACACACCAAATCACAATACTCTCAAAGACGTATTCCATATTTTATGCACAAGGACAAATGGGGCACCAATCACAACATGTACTCAAATGTAAATAACAGTAATAGCAACACATATTCCCATGTTTCATTGGTCACTGGCACAGAAGGAAAATGGTGCATCTCGCAAATCACAACATATATACATAATTAAGAACAAAACTAAACTATCACATAGGGCAATCTGGTTTTGTCAAGTCACAACTTTCCACTTTACCATGTGCTAACTGGAGGGAACTTGGTACCCATGATTCAAAGCACAACCCCTTCACCAAGCACTAGTTAGAAGGAAATTGGTACCTCTCATTTGAAGTGCAAACCACTTTACTGAAGAAACTTGGAAACCTCAATATATCACTTTCATCACATACTCAACATAATCATAACACTTCCATTATAAACTAGCCAACAAAATTATTGAGCACCAAAAGGTTTCAATTCACCTAATTGCATGGCCATTCTACAAGTAATGCAATCCTCCACCGATTGCTAAAGCAGATATCTCCGAACAATATATAAAATGTACTTCCATTGACAACACATTCCATACTTACAATCTCAATCATGCAAGAATAAAGTCATAACTCTATTATTCATTCATTAATTATAACATTTCCAATGTTCTTCATGATTGTCATTACCTCCACTCTAATCGTACTTCCAAATTTAATTCCTCATATTCTCAATTCCATTTTTCAAAAATAATATCAAACATTGGTTTGAGCTCTAATGAATTCACTTGTTTTAACAATATTAAAGCATAATCAATCAAGAGCATAGATACACATTCCCAATGAATTTAATTCAATATATGATATACATTTCTCAAGTATTTAAGCATGTACAACCAACACTTGATTTCTATCTTCCAACTTTCATTATTTCCATTTATCTATCATCTTCTCAAATTACCATGAGAACACACAGCTCAATACTTAGACAACATTCCCTCTTGTTTCTTATTTTCAATAATCTTAACTTAAATCAACCAATCCCATTGTCTTTTATTTACCTTTATCAATAATATATCCAATTAATTAATGTTGACATCAATTTAACATTCACATAACAATAACTCAATTACATCACATTAAATCATTAACTTAAAATTAGGGCTTTCTATTCTAAACATCATAAACATGTTCTAATAGCACCAATCTCATCTTCATGATTTTTGAAAAATACTCATTAAAGTCTTGTTTTTATGCAATATAAGATACCACATATCCATATACAACAACTTCATTAAGAAAAATTACTAAAAATCCGTCCCTCAAGCTCTAGGAAGAAGAAGAGAGACAAACCCTAAAATTGACGGTGTCAGAAATTAATCCCCACTACACATATTGAAGCCCTCAAAATGTTCTCCAAAGTTTCCTCAAGAATATCTATCTAAATCTTGATAGTTTATGAGAAATCTTACAGAGAAGTTGGAAATGTATGGGTTTTGTAGAGAGGGATGAGAAAAAAGATGAATATAGAGAGAGACAGATGAAAAAAGTGATAAGAGAGGGTGAGGAGATTTGATTTTGTAAAAAGTGGTTCAATTTTCAGAGCTGAACTAAACATTTATGTCTCTCCCGCACGTACCATCTTCACATGCTTTTTTTTCCAGAATGAAATCCAACTCTGCTATTCTTTTCTGCACGTGTAACACTCACCCTTGCACGTGCGTCAACCCTTTCCGCGTGTGCAGCTCTATCCCCACACATGCGGGAATGTTTACGAGTGGCTCCAAGCTTGGTTCTAAGGTATTACCACCCTCTTGTCCCACTTTCATGTCTGAAACTTTAACTTGCCCTAACGTCAAGAAGGTTAA